TCAGTCAACAGTTTATAAATACAGCAGGAGAGATAACTGCTGTGTATGCTCCACGAGGAGGAATTCAAACTGGGCTCCAGAAGTAGCAACATATTTTTAAGTTAGAAGAGAGAGTGAGAAAGCGTGAATGAGTGAACAGAAGGTTTCTATAACTCTGTGTGGAAGCTTTTTGTGCATGGTTGGAGCAGCTGGGGGTTGTCACTAGCTGAGAATAATCGTGAAGGGAACGGAACACAAAATAAAGGACTTGAGGTCTGAATGTCCTTTCATTTGCACCCACAAGTTTCACGGAAATCAAAGAGTTTACACCAGTTTAAATGAAATATATTTAAGAGCAGGTGAGGCTTATGACACATTAGATAAGAAAAGGGAAATCCCAGAACTACCTCCCCACCAACACCTCTCCCAACCTTAAGGGCTAAAGAGAGGCACATGGGCGAATTTCAAGGGCGAGTTACTCAAAAAATGTCCCACAAACATGGTTGAACAAAGAAGCTCAAGCTATCTTTACATTTGCATTTGCAGATTTCCATTAAGTTTTTATTATTTATTCCACATGCCAAATTGTAGCTAGCCTGAAGGGTTAAAAGCTAACTAAATAAAATTCATTCTGAAGCTCCGTCTCACGTTTACTCTACTTTTATTTGCTTTTTGGGTTTAATTGAAATGTAGATGCAAAAAGAAACCTTTTGGTTTAATAAGAGAACTTCTAGTTAAAGAGCAGCAAAAGGCATCACTGATAGCTTCTTCTAGCAGCAACTGTGAGGCTAAGGATACATGTCTTCTAGATTCAGTTGTGCCATTGAAAAAGAAAAGGAACATCAATTTTTCGTTCCTCACCTTCTTGCTGCATGCCACGTTTGCAAGCCTTGTGGTAGGAACTGCTCAAGTAAGTGCTGTTTATGACAATTCGGCTATGAGCAGCTACATCTGCAATACCTGCTCTTGAAACTCTCTGAGGCAAAGGCAACCTTATTCTGTCCGAAGTTGACTGCCGTGAGTAAAGACAAGCTACGCCGCTGGCAGGTGTAGGGGCTGGTGAAAAGCAGGGGTAGTGAGTTCAGTAAAGCATAACTACTTACACTAGCCCTACAGACATTAAGAATGTGCCTCCTGCTATATCTTCAGTGGAAAAACGATATCACAAGAGCACTAGAGGACAACTGAGGATGTAGAAAATATGCATCCAGAGTTCATGGAACATCAGTCTGCTTCCTGAGAGGAGCAATCTGATGTATTTAAAGACATCTGTGTATATGCATAAGAATAAGAAGACCAATAACTAGACAAGCAATACTAATGGTTTATTCGTATTTCTAGTTTTCACTTTGCCTGAATGTTTTTTTAACTTCAGAAAGTTGAGAACCAGAAATGTATTTTTGAAGCACCATTTGTGGTTTTGTATCTATCAGTTAAAATATCAAAGATTTTTATCCAGTTTCAGGTATGAAATCAGATGTGGATTAATTCTGGACTTGAAAATAAAGAACTGTATTAATTATTAATAAATCACAATATTTGGCCGGTGTTGCAAGTGTTCAATTAGTGCATAGATACGGCAGGGAAAGGAGGAGCATATCTAGTGAAGCATATTCTCTAGAACAACAACAAAATACATTAACTTTAGTCGGTTTCTCTATTGACTTCTTGTGTTTCCCAAATAAGGAAGAATTACAATTTTAGCTCCTTGATCTTCTGAAGTGATTAAAGACATTATTCAAAGTTGATGATGAAGTATTTATGGCTGCAAGGACACCCAGAGAGAAATGAGATTTCCGCGACGTGATTTAGAAGCTGTAACATTATCTCTGCTTTAACATCAAACCCAGCGAGTTACCGTCAGAGCACACCATCATCAGCGTAACTGGGTGCTTTGGATTTTTACCCTGAGTCCCCAAAGTCACAGTAGGATTTCAGTTTGAACTTCAGTGAGACTAACATTAAGCTCTCTGTGAGGGAAGAGTCTGTTTTAGCTGTTGACTTCAATCGGAGTTGGATTAGGTCTTGATTTATTCTGGAGCTATGTAGTGCAGATAGAGAGGCAACAAATTCAAGGACATCTGCAAAGAGAAGCAGCTAATTCTAGGATAATTAGAATGGACAGTTTCTAAAAAATAGAGGTGTAGGAAAGCAGGAAGAGCTTCCTAGCCCAGATACACGGAGACACGTTTCAGTGATGACAGTCTGCACTGGAAAAACAGGGAAATTTAAAGCTGAGATTTTCTCATACCAATGCAACTTGGATTTTGAGGTAGAATAGCTACGCCCAGGCTGTACAATGTCCTGGGCTGATGTATCTGCAGAGCGCGGTGCTAATGGCACAGGTCTCTGCTTGCTCCAAAATCTCTGCACCACATTTCATTATGTGGTTATTACATGCCACGGGCCTCTAGTATTATGGCTATTTGGTCCCTTCTTGAAACAAAACTCTCCAGCTTTTCTCTACTATTGCTCTCACCAGCTTTCACTGTTTGCATTACTCCAATTTCTTTTCTTACCTTACAACTGTCAGTTATGTTAAAATTCATAATATTAAGCAATAAGTGTGTGCCCCTCCCCCCTCCCCCCAGTTAAAAGTGAGGTTTGGTTCTAGCTTTTTTATATGATCAAAAATTTTTAAAAAACATGTAAAAATTGTACAGTTTTGTGGGGAACTTTTCCTACTAAGTGAGCATGACTGACAAAATATGAGCTTTGTTTAAATTGGAAAAGATAATATTTTCAGCTACTTAAAAGGCCAGTGCATAGGGATATTTTTTTTTCCTTTTTCCTGAATCTAAAAAAAAATTTCAAAAGGATTGAAGATTGCATTCCAATTTTTTTAAATTTCATTTTAAGAGAAGTGGACAGAAAATGAAATATCATTTAAAAAATACTTGTTCTAATTAAAAAAAAAAAAAGAGGCTTTGATTTTGGTGGGGCTTAGGGAGAGAAGGAAACTCTCAATATCTGATACTATCATTTTTTTATCAACAACACAAACTTTTATGTTTCTAGTACCAAAAACAAATGAAAAAGAATCAAAGTAGAAGAAATTATTCCTCTGGGGTTTTATAACTTATTACTCCCCAGCTCAAAATAAAAGCAGACTATCTATTTTTGTTTCATTCATCATCCATTCTTTGCTTTGATTTTAAGCTGCTTTATTTTCTTTGTATAAATATTTGCATTAATGATGCAAATTTAGGATCAGGTAGCTCATCTTCTCTGCACAAGTCTGTAAGCAGGAGCACAGCACAAGGAACTCTGTACCTACTGTACCTTCTTCTATGGTTTGCAGAATTTAACTCCTGCACTCTCTCACTCTCCACAGCAAATTAGGAACACACCTATGAATATGAATAAATGCTGTAATAACACTTTGCTCCCCTTTCCATTAGCAAAAAGCTGGACACATAAACTCTGATTCATCATCTCTCTTCAGCTCTGGGCAAGGAAGTATTTTACTTTTTAGCATTTTAACTCTACAAAATAGGACTAAAGGCAATTTAGGAATAGAATGAAGTAGATTTAGACAGTGAACTGTATTAAAGACTAACACAGGAGGTCCCTAACACATAAAGCCTTACAAGACTAAGCAGCCGAAGGTATAATTTCAGTAATAACCGTGTACTAATGACAACACAAGGCTGAAGTTACTAGTCTCAGACTTCCTGAGTGAGCAAAGAAGTTGTTGCTTCCTCTTCTCCAACAGAAGTACAGATATTTTCAGACATATTGGGTAGCAACTATGATGTTCCTTCTTTCCCCCAGCCAAATCATTGCTGAAGTTATGCTAGGACTATTAAGCATGACAAACTTCTTGGGCCTGTTATAATAACAAATTCTAGGTCAATTAAATTCACAGCTTTGGAGACATGCCTTGAAATTTAGCTTAAATTTTCTGGAGAATCAAACACTTTCACAGGAGACTCAGCAGCAAGTCACTGGTTAACTGCTGAGACTGTATAATTTTGGGTCAAGGAAGAATAATTCAGGGCATCTTTTGATTCCTGAAACTGGGTTGAGTTCACTTTGAAATTGGCCTATATTTCATTCACATGTAAAACTCATGCCGCAATCCCCCTGAACTACTTTCAATTTATATGACTTGATACCGTTCCAATTCCTGGCAGCAGACTGCATTTCCCACCATTTGCAGTGCCCAGCCAAGGTGCATTCAGATGTTTGGGAAGCTGAGATCAAGGTTCCCAGGCTTGTATTTCCTAAATCTTTTTTTGTTTGTTTCAAGGATCTACCGTCCTTGTTGACTGACTCATGCCTGTACAAAGTGCACACACACTGTGGAAACTCATGAAATTATCAAAGCCTTCAAACAGAATCTCATGCATACCTCAGGAAAAGATCAACCAGCTGCAATATTTTGATTAAACAATAAAAACATTTTGAGATGGGGATGCAAAGAGGATGAACTGAGTCAGGTAGAAGAAATTCATGCATTTAACTTCTGCTTTTGCCTTGCTGTATGGGAAACTGAATTCCCTGACTGTTGCTTACACATGCATACACACATTATACATACACTGTGTGTTACTGTTGGCTTTAAGATCTTTTCCTTACGGGTGAGCATTTGATGTTTAAATATAATGTGACGAGGAGAAGAATAGTAACAAAACACTTGATCTACAAGTAGACCAGAAGTTTCCTGTAATATATAGAAAAGCAGGAATGATAAACACCTAAGACAAACCAACAACAGCATTTAGTCATTCCATGATTGTGACAGAAGTTCCTGCATACAAGAGAAAAAGAAACAAACAGCTTTTTATCTTCCAGTTGATTAAATTAGTGTGCCTCTTCTGGTCAGATTTTGAAGTTATATTATACCACTGAAGCCCTCCTTCAATCTTCTCCTTTGTTAATTCCTTAATGCTATTCTGCCACTGCTCCCTTTATGTTTGATTAGGAAAGCTTGCTTCTAGCTCTGTGACCCATATATCTGAGGTTAAAATCTTTGGGTTTATCTCTGATTGAATGATTCACATTGGAAAACTACTCACCTGTCCAGCAGTGTCTAGAATGTCCAAATAGGCTGGTTCGTCATCAATTCGGACTTGAGTTTTATAGGCATCCTCTGAAAAATATAGTGCAGTACGGCTAAGCATAGGAGTGGCTCAGAGAATGGAAAATGAAATAGCTTTTGCTAGTTGGAGTAGGCTTTTCAAAAGCTCTCCAGTCTGACCTAACTTTGCTTATTTCAAAACAAAAAGACACTTTTTGAAATCCTACCATCATTGCAAAGTATTAGCAAAAGGGAGTGATCTAGGTTTTCTATTACACTACGTCAAAATATTAAAGAATTAAATTTGTCTCTCTTTAAACAGGTAGCACAGACCATAGGTGTTAAGTCACAAAGATTCAGAGGTGTTACACTGGTGCTATGCAGCAGAGTGGTTTTTACTTACCACTGTGACACTTCCACAGAGCTTTTCCAGCAAATAGTTTCAAGCTAAAGATTGTCTAAATTACCAGGATAGTATTCCTGTGACTGAAGGGGGCTTCTGGCTCAGATATGATTCTATGATTCTATATGTCAGAGCAATTAATTAGACCTCTGAATATCTCCAGAGAGGATGAAAATGGATTTTTTAAAATAAATTCTGTAATTGCTGTCCTCACACTCATCATGGCTGGGGTGGAGGAGGAAAAACTGTGCTTGGTGGACCGTTCCCTTAGCTCATGATTTTGTCAACCTACATTTGGAACGACAAAACCAAAAAAGGTGAACTACTATTTGCATAAGTTGTTTTCCTCACATTTCAATTTCATTCCCATTTCAACATTTGTACTTTTTTTCCTAAGGGTAAACACAGCTTAGATACCAGGCCGTGTTTATACTTGAAATAGTCTTGGAAATTACCAGTGTTGTTTAATTAAACAATAATGCATAGCAGCCTCTGTGGTTTTGGTGACTGATATCATGCTTTGGCTGTGCATTAAGGCATGAAGACAAGACAAGTGCATTTAATCCATCTGAGAAGTGTCATTAATCATCATGAGCATATGTCTGGCCCTATTCAAAGACTCAATCCTGCAAGCCCTGGCTGCCAGAGACCCTTGGGACTAGGCTCTCTATAACTCTTGAGATAATACTGGGATTATAATATGGGATTATACTGCAGGTAGCTGGAATTCTCAGGACATTCCAATTTGTGTCATAATATATTTATATCGCATCATATGACATTTCATAAATGCACATAAAAACCTGCTTTCTACCTACACAAAGGAAAAACTAAAGCATTCGGATATGAAGGACTCTGGATGGCCTTAACTCAGCCCACTCCTGTGCAGTCAGTGGCAAGCTATCTTTAATGACATAATTACATACAGTAATTTCCATGACTCTCCTTGCTTCTTTTAGGCCTCAGTTCAGCAAATTACTTAGGCGCATGCCTTGCTTTAAACAAATATCTAATCCCATCGATATTAGGATGACCCAGAGGCTTAATTAATTGTATGATACATTGCCTTGCTGAGAAAGCCAGAGCACTCCAACCAGCATATGTTTCAGTCAATAGATCTCTTTTTAGGGATTGCTGAATAAGAAGCTCCGTGCCAAAGAGGGACCATATAGAGTGAATTAGGCTACTTACAATTTAAGCAATCTATTATGATATGACAATGATATGCGTGGTAAAATTTTTTTCTTTTATCTTTTTTCTTAACTCAAAATGAAAAACAAAATATGAAAATATATAAAATCAAATATGGTATATCCTTCATATGAATTCTATTGATACTATAAAGTATTATTAATATATTTCCAGGCAGGTGGGTGCCCATTTCCATTACATTCATGCATACATAATTAACATATGACTTTCATAAATTTAGCTTGCACCCTTGGCTCCGCAGCTGGATACTCTAAAGCCAATATGCCATGGTCCCATTTCTCTCTTCATTTAGACCAATGTGAGTTTTAATGCAGTAGCTTTAAAACAGTTAATGCAGAGACATTTGCATACTTAAATTCAACTTGGATAAAAATGAAGCTGGGACCTAGATAAATTCTCTCTGATTTGCTAAGGAAATCAATTAGGAGTTCAGAGTTAGTTATAACTAAAAGACCCACTGGCCTCTGAACATAAGTCATAGCTTTCAGTAAGTAAATGTAAGATATGTACATCTAATACCCTGCTAAGCCACTCCAGCTGTACCCCAATATCATGCTACTGTAATCAGTAAAGTGTCAACTGTTAGAAGCTGGAGCAAGGCTATGTTTATAACCCTTTTACTTTGCAAAGATAACACTGAACATACAAACCCACTGTGGTTTTTTGTTTGTTTTTCTCAAACTACTGACCTTAAAGCACTTCACAAAGATGTGCCAGAATCACTGTCTCATTTTCATTCTTAATAGATGTAACATCTTCTGTTAGTGGTAGTGAAACATATTCTGCTGAACATTGACCAAGCACATGAATCTAAATGGTTTTCTAGGCAACTGTATTTGGAAGATTTTTTTTTTACTTGTAGGATTTGCCTTTGCCCCAAGAAATGTAAAGATGAAACAGGAAGGAGATACGACTTTCCTTTGTAATATTCTCTCTCTGCATATGTGTAAAAAACAGGATAGTACAGATCATTTAGAATAGCTTAAAAATATCCTCAACTGGGCTGTGATAAGCAGGGGTATTCTCAACCTGTAATTGAATGGAAAATAGATGGGAGATTTAATACCCATTTTTCTTGTGGCACTCATTTAAAAGGAAGTCCTAAAGCCCACACTTATCAAGGGAATTGCTATCTTGAGCCAACACCCTCATACCAGAGATCAGATCATAGCACCCACTTAGGACCTATCGGCTTCTTAATGCTCAAACACAACCAGTGATTTGAGAGGCACTATCTTTCCGTTTACCCTGTATATTCACTGATCTCCTGGGCTACTAGGACAAGGAATTTTTCCAGCGCAGGAGGTAGAAGGAAGATGCATAAATTGAAAACCGTATTTCCCATCTCATGTCATACAGACCAAAAAAAGAAGCTAAGAGTGGAAAAGCTGTGCCATTCAGTTCTGGTCTACAAGTAATACTTTAAAACTGGGATTTCATCTCAGGAAGTAATGGAAATAGAGCTGAGTGAGGGATTACATAGACAAACATCTTTATTTTACTCAGCTGGACTACGGGGCAGGGGCATTAACGTGGAAAGAAACAACCTCCTAGAGATGAAGAGTTGGATATGTCTGCATGGTGAACCCAGTTAAGATATTTTCTTTTTATTAGTAGCTATAATGCTAAGCAGAAACCCCGGTGTCTTCGCATGCTTCCTAAAGTATTTCAGGAGGGATTACTGTGTGGCTAGCCTTTTAGTCCAGGCAATGTAGTACACATTATGGTCACATTAAGGAAAAAGAAACCCCGAGATCAGAGGGGAACCTACTGTTTACATGTGGACTGAGAAGAACAGAAGTGAAGATGTTCCACTGAAATAGCATCTGAGTATATATAAAACAAAGCAGGAAAGTCTTCATCAGGAGCACTAGCAAACTCCCTGTCTAATCTCCTCTCTTTAAAAATTATTCACATTATTACAAATGCTGTCTGGTATATTTACACTATTCACAATGTTTGAGTACATCACATTTTCTTTCACCTAATTAATTTATAAGACTAATATAATGATCTCTTTTAAAGTTAATTGGGAGTTGCCAAGCCACGTGTATCTGGACTTTACATCCTACAGCTCTAAGGAGTGATATTTATTAAAAGGCCAAACTCCAGCTGCCGTTTCAGTAATTTCAGTAAGCATGAAGATAACGTACAAAAAAGACAAGAATAATAATCAGACAATAAATCAGACAATAACTCTATTTCTTATATTAAGTTCAGTATTAGCCTTTTTCTGTGAGGCTAACTGCAAGGTCCCACCTTTTGGTTTAGGTTAAAATGCACCAGAAAGATAGGGTATTATAAGAAGAAACTGTGGATAGAGTTTATTGATATTGCTGTGAGATATAACCATGATTCAAACACAGACTACAGGAATGAGCATTTCATAGGGGACCAATGAGAAAAATGAAATAAAAACTCCTGCATCCTTACAATCTGTAGAATATGTAAATATAGAAATATATGAACTTGATAGTTAAAATATCTGGTAAAAGTTATTTTTTAAAGAAAACTATTCTCTTTTTTTTCCATATAGAGTATAGACTTCTTTAAGAATTTTATTTCCTACAAATGTCAAAAATAAAAATGAAAATAGATAAAAATTTCAGCTTAAAAGATTATACTACTTGGCTTGAATTATTTCTGACTGTTTACTGTTTTCCAGGGGGGGAAAAAAACAAATAGAGCTCCAACTGTTTCCTGAATGGCACCTGTTAATTTTGTTATTCATTCTTTCCTCTTTTACTGAATATCTCACTTAAACCAAGAAAAAATGTTTTTTCAAAAGGCATTTTTTAACTTTTTTTTTCTTAATTGTTTGATTGTCCTTTGCAGTACTATGAAAGAAAAGAAAAAATTCTTCCTTAAGCCTTTGTTATCTGGCTTTTTTTTGTAAAATGAATACATCCTCTTTGTTCAGCTTTCCTTTTTTATAGGACAACATTCTGGAGACAGAAGTACAATAATTAATGCAAGGTTGTGTTGCTATCAGTTATCTTAGCACTGGAGAAGCTAGATTCATAAAAAATATATCAAAGCACTTTTTTCAGCTATGAGCAGGTAACTGCTTCATGACAAATAGATTTGGATGGTGTACAATTTAAAGGGGAGTTGGAAAGGGCTTTTCATCTGCATTACAGACATGTTCCAGTCCCTGAAATATAGGTCAGCTGCTTCATTCTTCCATTTGTTAATTCTGCTTATATTCCTTCCAAATAAATAGTGTCTCTTCTTCTGTCTTATACACTATCAATTGCAGTTAAAACCAAACAGATTCTCACATATATAGATGAGCCAAAAGATATTTTATTTGGCTAAGCAGGTGCCAAACCAGCAGAAGGAAGTCCAAGCTCAGTCAACCACACCTGGAGTTCTGCCTCTTGTTGTTCTCCCTGTGTGCCAAGTAGACAGCAGGAGACCCAGTTCTTGGTGTGCTTAGACTATCTGCTACATACAC